CCTCCCCTGGTGACATATACCGTATTTTTCAGAGTATAAGACACACCTTTTTCCCCTCAAAAGAGGCTGAAAATTTAGGTGCACCTTATACACTGAATACAGCATTTTTTGCCTCCCAAAACCCCGCCCCCTTCACCAAAATAGGCCATGTATAACTTGTAGGAGACTTATAGAGTGCTCCTGGGGATGGGGAAGACAGAAATGAGAGAAAAATGGGCCGTTTTTCAATCAATTCCCCCCCCCAGCCCCCAAGAGCACTCTATAAGCCTCCTAAAGGCAATCCATGCCCTTTTTTTGACAAAAAACAGGCCCATTTTTGCAAAAAAGGGCTGTTTTTTGCTAGGTTTTGCGCCCCCCCCCACCTCCCAGGAGCACTCTACAAGCCTCCTAAAGGTTATTAATGCCCCCCCTTTAAAAAAAGCCCTGTTTTTGTGAAAAACAGGCCATTTTGGGAGGTTTGCAGAGTGCAGAAACATTTTTTAAAATTTGCTTCTACAAAACCTTGGTGCGTCTTATACTCCAGTGCGTCTTATGCTCTGGAAAATACAGTAATTCTTACTTTACTCAAAAAGTGAACTCTACTCACCTGGTGGAAGCCTAAAAGGCCATTAACTTGGTTTAACCTAGGTTCAAATTGCCCCCATTAAAAAACAAATTTCCCCCCCTGTGGGGCATGGGCCCATGTTGGGAACCATTGCTCTATCCTGACTCGCAGGGGGGAGGCAGGGGGGGAGGGAGGGGGAGAGAGAAGGCCTCACCTCTTGATGTTGATGGGAAAGAGGTGCAGCACCTCTAAGGTAGATCGGCTGATGGTGGCCGCGAAGGATTTCCCTTGGCTGTAGCTGAAGAAAAGCATCTGCAGGACATGGGAGTAGTAGACGGACACTCCGCCCCCGGCCACCTGACCATTGCTGTCCTGCCAGGGACATAAAAGGCAGAGGAGGTCACAGGTGGGTTGCCCCCCAAACCGTTTCTGACTCAAAAGTATCTGAGAAGATTCTCCGTTAATCCAGGTCACAGCTGTATCAAAAGTGGCTTTTATTTTGAAGAGACAACTGGATGGATTTTTTTGAGGGGAAAAAACAAGACGTTTTGCTTCCTATCCTAGAAGCTTCATCAGCTTCTATAGGAAGTTGTGGGGAGATGGAAGGAGGGTCCTTCTGTCTCCTGGAGCTTACTATAGAAACCGATGAAGCTTTCAGGATAGGAAGCAAAATGTCTCATTTTCACCCCCTCAAAATCCATCCAGTTGTCTTTTCAAAATATAAAACCATTTTTTTAAAAAATGAAAATTTATTTAGTCGTTTCTTATTAAAATATTGGATATAATGCAACCACCCTGGCATTATCTCCACCATACATCCTAAAGTGTATAACCGAAACTATACAAATATTATCATACATTGACCTCTTACGATACATCACTAATTATACATATATAAATATATTCTAGTTAATATATTCTTTTGTGTTTACATCGTATATCCATATATTACATTTATTGCATTACTTTCCACATTCACAAATCCAAATTACTTCTTGTTCCAACTTCCGCCTCTCATTTCCAACCAATAGTAAAATCTATATTGTGATATTCTGACTCTTCTTTGTTCTTAATTTCTAGCGTCAATTTGTCCATTTCTGCACATACAAATATTTCATTTATTAATTCCCTCTCTGAAGGTACCCTTTTGACTTTTCCATTGTTCGGCATATACCATTCTTGCTGCTGTTATGATATGTAATATTAGATACACTGACCCATTACAGATGTCTTCTGTTATGATTCCTAGTAGGAATAACTCTGGTTTGAGTTCTAACCTTTGTCCAGTCATTTCTTCCAACCACATCTGGATATTTCACCAAAATTCTTTCGCTTCTGTGTCCCCTCCCCCTTTGTGTCAAAAGTGAAAATATAAAACCACTTTTGACACAAAGGGGGTCTTCTCGAATTAAGGAAACCCCATTTTTAAATGGAGAGGGAGAGTTTCTGGACAGTGCCGGTAGGCACATTGAGGGAGGAGGCTGGACACAGGGTGGAATACCTTCAGGTCCTCGTGGGCGACTTCAAGGACGTTGGTGACGTAGAAAGGGCCGTGCTGGGCACTGCTGGCCTCCTCCATGAGCTGCAGGTAGATGTAGCCAGCGGAGGACATGATGACCACAATGTTCTTGCTCTCTTCGTTGAAGAGGAAAGTGATGTCCCGGATTTTGGAGCTGGGCAGCAGGAAATAGAAGGTGGGGCTTAAGGCGTCCACCGAGAGGTCGTAGATCTGTGCGAGGAGAAGGAAAAGGGAAGACTTTTGGCTGGGAAGAGCAGAGAGACGCCCTCCCACCTAGCCGCCAAACAGGGTTCTGGCATCTTCCGCCCTCATCGGCATCCTGCCATCAATAGTGTCAGTGTGTATGAGAGTTCATGACTTGGCGGAGACATGGTAACAAGGTCAGCCAATGAAGAGACATGGCAATTGGGTCAGCCAATGAGGGCTGTTTAGAAACTGAAACAGTATTTGCTGTGTGAGCAACAAGGAGACACCAAGGAGCCTGGGCGTGGCTTAGCTCTGCAGCTCTGTATTAAGCCATAAACTAGTCTGCTGCTCTGAACTGAAACTCCTCTCCTCTGCCTGTATTTGCACCTACTTACAATCTCTCCTCTCTACCACGCTTTGGGTATTGTATATTTGCTTCCTGCATTATATTCTATATAAAGAGAAGTTAATGAATCCTGTTGAATCAGTTACCTTCCTAGATGTGATTGCTGCTGCAAACTCTGACAAATAGTGAGGAGGAAATGAAGGAAGCAAGGGGACAAATGGACAATAAACATGTGCTAGGATACCCCTGGGAAACAGGGAGGTGGGAAGTGACAGCTAAGGAAGACCAGGGATGTTTTGAACCCATTCGTGCCAGTCTTCAAGGACACTGAGAAGCCGGAGAAGCTGGGAATGGAATGTCGATTGCTCCAAATCCTAAATGTTCCCAAAACACCGAGGCCTCCGCCCATTGGATGGCGTTGGACTGGTCAAAGGGGGAGCGATGGATTGGCAGGGAAAGTCTGTATGCTTTCACGCATCTAGCCCAGGAGTTGTCAACCTTAAACACTCCAAGAGCCATTTGCACCCTTTTCCCACAGAAAAGAAAACACCAGGAGCCACAAAACCCTTCCCTTGGTTGACTATTTCCTGAGCAGCCACAAAACTTGTGTATGTAGTTGAATTCAATGTTTTATTTTCTTCTGAAACTTTTCTTTTGTTGGATTTATCCATGGGTGGCCTACCAGGGCCGAAAAGCTCAATAAATCGCATGCTGGCGGGTGTCGCACATTGGCAGTTGTGATGCATATTTTGAGCAATAGGGAGCCGCAGCAGAGGGATGAAAGAGCCACATGCAGCTCCAGAGCCAAGGATTGCTGACCCCAGTTCTAGCCTAACTTTATTGTTACCAGCATCTTTTGAGTAAAAGAGCCTATCACTTCAGCCAAAGGGAGTCGAGGGTCTTTCTCTCTTCAGGGCTCAGATCGGGGCAGGTCTGACAGAGATCGGAGCAGAGGGAGAGGGGGACAAGAGGAGTTTAGTCGGCTTCCACTTGTCACTAACCTTCACGAAGTCGGCGGTGACGATGGCCAGTTCTGTCTGGGATCCTGGAAGCCAGACTGCCTTGATGATGAAGTTGCCCGTGGCAAGCTGAGGATGGAGCACCAAGTGATCCGAGACAGAGCCCGAACTGCTGAATGTGAGGACGTGGCAGTCCTGGAAAGAACCAAGAGAGGGGAGTTAACAGAGAAACACATACGGGCAAGCACAAGGAAGAGGGAGAGAGAGAGGGAGAGAGAGAGGGGGAGAGGAAGAGTGGGAGAGGGAGGGAAGGAGGGAGAGGGAGAGAGAGGGACAGAAAGAGAGGGGGAGGAAGAGAGAGAGGGGAGAGGGAGGGAGAGAGGATGAAAGGGCAATAAAGCTTTGTGTGTACGTGATACGAAATCAAAAGTCCCTTTTTTTCCAGTGCTGATATAATTTTGAAAGGTCACAAAACAATCTGTTGTAAGTCAAGGACCTAGCTGTACAAAAGGAGGTAATCTCTCTTCCGCAGGCAAGCAGGCAGGCAGGCAGTCAGCTGCCCTCCTTGCAGAGAATCAGAGAGTCCACAGCCAGCCTAGTGTGTGTGTGTGTGTGTGTGTGTGTGTGTGTGTGTGTGTGTGTGTCTCTACCTTCAGCCCGCAAACAGCCAAATAGTCCTCCTTGCAGGGGTTCCCCGTCAGGCTCAGCACGGTGAAGGGGACGGGCGCGGAGGCCAGGCGGGTCAGCGTCAACTTCCGCTTGCTGGAATCGGCTTGCTTCAGCAGCGCAGAGAGCTGCAGCACGGTGATCTGTGCGAGGGCAACAAGAACCCGGACATGGGGGCGCAAGAGAATTACTACAACCCAAGAAAAAGTGGGAGAAAAATTAAAATGGAAGCTTCCCCCCCCGCATCCTGGTTTCCACCCAAGACGTTTGTGGGGATCTCTGCTGCCCAGCGGCAGAGAAAGGAAGATGCGTCCAAAGGGTGCTTGGCTCACTTTGAATGGCTATCAAGTGGAAATGTTTTCGTTGCCATTCTGTATTTTATGAGCCGCGGTGACCCAGTGGTTAGAGTGCAGTACTGCAGGCTCCTTCTGCTGACTGCCGGATGCCAGCAATTTGGCAGTATGAATCTCACCAGGCTCAAGGTGGACTCAGCCTTGCGTCCTTCCGAGGTGGGTAAAATGAGGACCCAGATTGTTGGGGGCAAGAGGCTGACTCTGTCAACCGCTTAGAGAGGGCTGTGAAGCACTGTGAAGCGGTATATAAGTCTTAAGTGCCCTTCCTCCCTCCCTTCCTTCCCAAATAGCTAGTACAATATTGCAGGGTAACTCTGTCCACAGCCAGCAGTTTGATCCTGATCGGGCTCAAAGTTGACTCAGCCTTCATCCTTCCATGGTGGGTAAAATGAGGACCCAGATTGTTGGGTGGAGAATAGGCTGACTCTATAAACTGCTTAGAGAGGCCTGGAAAGCACTGTGAAGCGATATATAAGTCTAAGGACTATTGCTATTAAGAGCCATGAGGGCACTGTGGTTAGAAGGCAGCACTGCAGGTTAATTCTGCCAACTGCCAGCAGTTTGATCCTGATCGGGCTCAAGTTTGACTCAGCCTTCCATGGTGGGTAAAATGAGGACCAAGATTGTTGGGTGGAGAATAGGCTGACTCTGTAAACCGCTTAGAGCAGACTGTGAAGCTGTCTGTAAGTCTATTGCTATTATGGTCTTGGTGCTGGTTAATAGCCTCTCTTGGTTAAACTACTGGATCAGAAATCTCTTTGACTTTCTATGCTGAAGATGACCAGAGGTTTAAGACCCTGCAGAGATCCCCTGCCTGCTTCTGGGGCAGATCCTCTCCCATTTCTCACCTTGCCCTTCTCGTGGCTGACTGCCAGGTGTTGGCGCCGTCCGTGGGGCGAGGAAAGCACGCACATGGCCACCCGCCGCAAGACGTGAGCGCTGATCAACTGCCGGATGGTCTGGCCTTGATCCCCGCTATAGTTCATCCGGACGTTCTCAAAGGCGCCTTCCTGAGAGCCCAGGGTCGGCACCTGCAGAGCAGGACACAAGCAGGAAAGAAAGCTGCTGTGAACACAGCCTGGAATATTAACCTGGAATTATCTTGTGGGGACATAATTAGCCTGGAATATTGACTTCTGAAAGATGCTGCTGCCTGGCTCTGAAGGATGGAACGAAGGGGGCTTCTCTGGAGGCTGCCCCCTCGAACTAGACCCCCCCCCTTTCCCAACCTGTGCGGCCCATCTCACCATCAGCTGGTCAGTCATTTCCACCGTCTTGTCCAAGGTGTGCAGCTGGTTCAGGGCCTGCTGGGCGCGGCTGCTGCTGCCCATCGCTGAGGCTTGCTGGAAGTTGATCTGGATGGCTTCCATCAAGAAGTTGAGCAGGTCCAGGACCAAAGAGGCGAAGGAGAAGTTGGCCTTGGGGGAGAGGGAAGAACAGGGAGCGGGGCTGAGAAGCCTTCCCCCACTAGGGAGAGGTCCCTGGCGCCCCGATTGTCTCCTCCGCGCATGAGGCCAAACCTGGGCCTGTAGCTGCTCCCGACATCCTTCCACGTTCCTGCAGAGGGTGCTCTTCTTGGGCTTGTCTTCGTCACTCCCTCGGACATCACTGGCGGATGACTTGGACTTGTCGGTGGGCGAGGTGCTGGAATGGCGGACGCTCTCCGAGACGCGTGGCTCGCTTTGGAAGGCTGACTCCTTCATGGTAGAGCTCATGCCGCTGCTGGGAGTCCTCTTCACCAGGGCCTGGAGGGGAACAAACACCATGCAGGGACTTCGGCCATTTGGCAGGAAGAGGCATAGCCCCAACTGACCTCGTCCAAAGCGCCTGTCCCCCACCCCCACCCCCCATTTCTTCTCAGGATTTCCGCCCTACCAGGCAGCTGCCATCTTCCTTGGCTCCGCAGTCGCAAAAGAACGATCCGTATTTGGCGTACGAAATCTCGTGGTCCTTGTGGCAAACCTTGGCGCAGACGGTGCAGACGCCGACACCGTCCACCATCTTACAGGTGTGGCAGTGATACCTGCCGTGGTGGGAACAGAGAGCAAGCCGGAGAGGGAGGGAGGTAAATGAGAGATGAGCGCTTTGCGATAAAGCAAACAAAACGACGCACCCGGTTCAGCACCCCCCTCCCCCCCCCAACATCATTTTTGGGCACCAGGTTTTCTGTGGACCAGAGGGAAATTTTTCCATGGGCGGGAGGGAGCGTAGTTTCGCATGCTGCCTGCATCCAATGCATGGGGCTTTGCTTGTTTGTGTGGGCCAGTTTCTAGCATGCCATGGACCGACTGGAAGGTTGGGGCCCCCCTGGGTTAGGCAGCTGGGGAAGCTCACCAGTGCTGGTTCATGAATTCCTTCTGTGTGATGGTAAAGGTGCAAAGTTTGTTGCAGAGAGAGTCTTCGTCCTGTGTTTGTGCACAGAAGTGAACAGTTTTTTTGTAAGCGTTGCCTAGGATGGCTTCTTTCAAACACCTGCTCACAACTGGTTACAACCCCAGGTGGGCTTTAAAATTTTTAGCAACAGGATCTCTGCCCGGTTGCTGGATGTGGCGTGGCCTAGTCGGCCTCCTGCACCACTGCAGGGGGGAGGGGGAGGGGTTTCCCCCTCTCCCCAGGCTCCGGAGCTATATATGCTGAGGACTACTTTATGCACAAAAATGGAAGGACATTTTGATTTCCACAATGGAGAATGGCTGCAAAAATTGATTGGAGGTAGCAGAGACGGCTAAATTGATTGTTTTGATTAAAGAAAAGAACACAATTGAATTTTGTTTCTCCTTGGAAACCGCTTTTGGACTTGTGCTGGAGGTGGGTGGGTGGGGAATGAAACTTTGATTCTGGGTTTTACCGATTAGAAAGGTTTGTTGTTATAAAAATGGCTAGCTTATAAAAAGGCAAAGGTTCCCCTCGCACATACGTGCTAGTCGTTCCCGACTCTAGGGGGCGGTGCTCATCTCCGTTTCCAAGCCGAAGAGCCAGCGCTGGCCGAAGATGTCTCCGTGGTCATGTGGCCGGCATGACTCAACTCCCGAAGGCGCATGGAACCCTGTTCCCTTCCCACCAAAGGGGGTCCCTATTTTTTCTACTTGCATTTTTTAACGTTCTTTCGAATTGCTAAGTTGGCAGAAGCTGGGACAAGGAACAGGAGCTCACTCCGTCAATGCGACGCTAGGGATTCGATCCGCCAACCTTTATGATTGACAAGCTCAGTGTCTTTTTATTATCTTATTCAACTGCACCAAACGGGAAAGGAAGTCAATGTCTTCTTTCTTTTTTCCTGCACTTTTCTCTTCCCTTTTCCCTCCCCTGTCTTTCCTGCTATTTTCTTTTGTATTGTTGCATTTCATAGTGTTAATAATAAAAGATTATTAATGGTCCAGCTGGGTTTCCTGGCCCGCTTACCGAATCTTCGGCCTGCGAGTCCTCCTCCTCCACAGCCAATTCCTCCACCCAATCGGAGTCCACTTCGATGGCCCGCTCTTCTCCGTCAACCGAGAGGTGGCTGGTGCCCTGGCTGTTGCTCTGGCTCAGGGCATTGGTGACGTCGGCCAGGTAGGAGACGATGTGGCAGGTGCATTCCAGGATGGTCACATGCTGCAAGAAAAGGGAAGCGACTTTATCTGCCTTTCCTAACAAGCGCAGGCAGATCAGCAGACGGGCGAGGGGAGTACAGGTTAAGT